GCCGTGAGGCGAAACGATTATGCTTATTGTTTATTGGTGACAGGTGAGGCCCTTCTAGTTGCCAAGCGGCTTGAGAGGCTCTATCTATGGTTGGCGTGAGGGAATTTTTGTGGCCACCGAACGTTGTGGCGGGATGTCAGCCTCTCGGTGATTGTAACCAGAAAATAGGAAAGGGAGTGACAGGTGAGGCCCTCTCTATGCAACGTGTGAGGTGGCCCGAGGGGTGTTTGCTTCCGAGTTGAAGCGGGGTGTTGGCCTCACAGGACCACTAATCCTAAGCAGAAATGCAGAAAACGGGGGAACTAACTTTTGGCCCCTATGACCCTAATTGCCAGTACTTGTCTGTCCTGTGGGGGATTTGAATGGTTCTACTGTAAGCAGGTGTACATACCTGGTAGTATAGGTTATTGAACCTGGTAATCCGGATAGGTAATAGTAGTACCTGTAACTAAATAGGTGCACCGTATGAAAAATATATACAAGTGACACAATTGTATTATCTTAATTATGTTCGTATTGACCTGTATAGGCCAGGAAATGGTGTTTGTAAGATCTCCTTAACCCTGTAAGTCGCCTTGTAATGGTAGGAATTTGTAGTAGTAAAGGCAATTTGTGTAAATGTTTATAACCTTCCTAGGGAGAAGTATGGTATATCTGTGAGATTGTGTATGGTGTACAGGAACTTAATGTGATATTTTAATAATGGTGATATCCTTGCCGACCTGAAGGTGGCAGTGTGAAATCTTTAACCATGTGACTACCCATATGTGTAACTGGAACCTGTTTGTTAAACCATTCGTGAGTATAGTTCTCAGCATGTTACTATTATATTCCCCAACAATTGTCCGTTCATGTGTTTAACCGTACGAACTGGACAACATAAGACTAGCAGGGTTCGGCAGTGTTAGAATATGTGAGTATTGTTCGTGCGATGTGCAAGTCCCGAACAGTAAGTGAACGGAGTAACATGTATTTGTATAGCGTGCTCGTGCGTTTGACCGCACGAACGTAAGCATGTATGCAAAATTTTTAGCGATTAATTACATGTCATATTAGTTCCGAACGTTGCAACGAAAATGCTGTGTAAGCGAACAGCTGAACCCGGACAAATATAATATAGCGATTTTTAAGTGCCGAAATAGCTGAACGCGTACAATAAGTGAGGACCTGAACCGTATTTGATGCCGTGGGCCTTGTTGCCTGGTGTGAGGTTAGGTCTACTTACTGTTTAGTAGTCACTAGGACGCGATCCGCGGCGATAGTAAGCAGAAGTTGATCCAAAAGAAATCTGCAGAAGGATTCCTGGACACAGTTCAGCGATGGAAACCTTGTGGGACACAGAAGTATTGCAAAATGGCGACTGGATGAACCGGAAGTGCATTCAGACGCTGACCTTGAACGGTGTGGAGACAGGTAAGGGGTGTACCTTATATAGGAGAGTGGTTTAATTCCCACCCTTTCCACAAATACAGGCCAAACGGCCTTAACACACACATATATATATATATATATATATATATATATACACACAAGAAAATAATTTTGCACTTCACTTACTCAGGAGTACTTAGCCCGGTGCTTGTCAGCAAAAAATATAGAAACATCAAAAGGATAGCACTCTCAGGACCTCCAAAATAGAGTAAAACTTAAATTTTAATGTCCAAGGTTAAAGATCAACGTTTCAGTTCATCTTGTAAATTTCATCAGGATCATCATTGATCTTTAACCTTGGACATTAAAAGTTAAGTTTTACTCTATTTTCGAAGTCCTGAGAGTGCTATCCTTTTGCGGTTTCTATATATATTTAGTAAAGAAGAAGAGAGTGAGGTCTTGAATTTGAAATGCACGTGAATGAAATGTAATGCTGAATACCTGAAACCAAAATTCATAGCTTAACCAGTCTTATCATTCTGCATCTAACCTGCTAATGGACACTACCCGAATCTTATTGTAATGATAGGCCTATCCATGTACTGATAACCAGCTTCTGTAATTACCTAATATAGTTTACCCCATGATCTCCTTAATACAGTATTATTATAACAGAAGGAACCTACCTTTACCTAATAGTACCTGCCACAACTTTAAACATTATTTAACTTGGCCAGCCTCACTTATTTAACTTCAATTTAAATAAATTTGCTTAATATAATTATACAACAGGGTAGGTTTCTAATACTAGACACAGTTCTAACACTAAGCAGTTGCCTCCCTTCTAAAAGCCCATTCAATGGTAGCTATATATATTTGCTTGTGATTTGCTGGTACCTCATGTGCCATTCAAAAGTTCAGCTTTAATGCGAGGTGTAGTCCAAGGTGTTGTCCAAGATCAACAGAAGTACGACTAGCCATGTCCCCTGCGTGACCTTGTATCAGACCCAGTAGGAGTGCTGGGCAGGGACAGGACTTACCATTGACTTATCATTGAGATATGTTACATAATATGAAGTAATTGTGTATACCCTCATAACGTACTTGCTTTGGTGCGAGGGGATTTCATGGCCACTAGACGTTGTTGCGGGGTGTCGGCCTCTCTGTGATTTTTAAAGCATAGGACAGAATGGGAGTGACAGGTGAGGCTCTTTCTATGCCACGATGCGAAGCGACTAACTGTGAGTTGAGCCGAAAGACAAACTACCTCAGAGTATGAGGATGGGTGTTGGCCTTGCGGGACCACTAACGTAAGGCATAGATGCCTGAGAAAGTATTAGCTATTGGACTCCTGATGTCCTGACAGCCAGTTACGAAACTAACTAAGATAGGCAGGGAAAGGAATCGAATAAGTATGTGTAATTGTTGACGAAAGTGAGAATGAGTAGTCAGTAATGCGGTTTAACACAAGAAGGTGTATTGGCATAGACCTATAGGGGGTAACTAGACATTGTAGGAATCGTGATATGTTACTTAAAATATAGGTATCATGATATGCCTACAGGATAAGTAGCAAAGATAGGTTCAACCATGAGTAGGAGGTAGTGCTGTAAATCGTAGATACCTAGCACCTAAAGATATGTTGATGAAACGTACATGTGTGATATGTAAGTGCCAGCTTGTGGACCCAACTGAACAATCTATAACAGACCTACCTAACTAGCATAGTATAAGGCACAAGTGAAAGCAGTAGTTCCAATTAATTAAACTAATGATATAATGAAATATACGAGGAGTGTGTGCATGGCCCAGCCCAGGACCTCCTTCAGGGTAGTGAACAGATAGGTGCATGGAAAATTAAACAGTGCCTGTTGAACCCTACTTTAGGGTGGTCACTAGACAACTGCATTACTGGATAAACACTCACCTCTAAAATGGTTGTTGTTTCATAAATAGGTGTCTGATGTTGAACATGTCATGTTGACTGGCATAAACTCCGTAGTGAAAAAAAACACTGAGGATAAATGGAAACTTTTCAAACAAATATTAGAAAGGTACATTTCTCAGTATGTACCATTAGGGAATAAATATAAAAGAAACAAATTGAAACCAATGTGGCTTAGAAGAGAAATAAAACAAAAGATTAAAAATAAGAAAAGGGCATTTAAAGCATTTAAAATCGGAAAAATCAGAGGCATCCTATATAAGATATAAGGAACCCAACGATGCTTACAAAAAGGCAAATAAAGTAGCTAAACTAGAAAATGAGAAATGGATAGCCAAAGAATTCAAAACCAACCCCAAAAATGTTTTCAAGTGCATCAATTCTAAAAAAATAAAAAAATAAATTAAAATGTAGGTACACTGGAAACAGAGATTGGTCTGTTAATTAATGAAGACCAGGAAAAAGCAGAAATTTTAAATAACTATTTTTCTTTAGTATATATTAATTTAGATCCTATGGCAATATATATATATGCAAATGAATGCTGCAAAAAAAATTGCAGATAACTTGTGATTGGATGACTCGAGACAAGGTGCTACAGCAGTTAAAGAATATTAATGTAAATAAAGCTCTGGGGCCTGACGGTATTCACCCATGAATACTTAAGGAGCTAAGTGGGGAAATAAGTGAACCGCTGTATTTAATTTTTCAAGATTCTTTTGTTTCAGGTATTGTACCAGAGGATTGGAGGAAGGCAGATGTTGTTCCTATATTTTAAAAGGGTTCAAAATCCTTGCCTGGAAATTATAGACCTGTGAGCTTAACTTCTGTGACTAGGAAAATATTTGAAGGGCTATTAAGGGATAATTTTCAGGAATTCATTGGGAAGAACTTTGTTATTAGCAATAATCAGCATGATTTTATGAAACATAGGTTATGTCAAACTAACCTAATTGCATTCTACGAAGAAGTAAGTAGAAATATAGATCAGGGTGTTGCAGCGGATTTGATCTACTTGGAGTTTGCAGGCATTTGATATGGTACCTCACAATAAGTTAGTCTTCAATCTAAAAGAAATTGGTCTAGATGAATGTTCTTTGGTTGAACATTAGCTTAAGGATAGAGCATAAGTTGTCATTAATGGTACATTTGCAAGCTGGACAAAAGTGGTAAGTGGTGTCCCTCAGGGTTCTGTTTTGGAACCACTTCTATTTAACATATTTTTAAATGATCTTGAAATAGGCATTGAAAGCCATGTTTTAGTGTTTGTAGATGACACAAAACTTTGTAAATTAATAAAATGTGAGCAGGATATTGCTTTGCCGCAGAGGGATTTAGATAGATTAGGGGACTGGGCACTAAAATGACAGATGAAATTTAATGTAGAGAAATGCAAAGTTATGCACTTTGGAGTCAAGAATGCACAAGCAACTTACACCCTAAATGGTAGTGAATTAGGGGTAACAACACACGAGAAGGATTTGGGAATTGTTATAGAAAACAAATTAGGCAGCAGTATTAAATGTCAATCTGCAGTTGTGAAGGCATAAATTCTCGGGTTGAAAATATAACTTTACAAAAAGAAAAGTCCTGCGCTCACTCCCATCACTCCTGGGCGGCAGCAACGACCACAGTACACATCAGCTCCAATACATATAGTAAAAACCAAAGAAAAAAAAGTGATCTGTGCTCTCTCCTTAATCCCTATGTATCTTTAAACAAATGGAGGTCATTTAGGTACTCCAAAGGCCACTGGAGGCCATGACCTCCATTTGTTTAAATATACATGGGGATTAAGGAGAGAGCACAGGTAACTTTTTTTCTTTAAAAATATAATTTTGTCGCTTTATAAATCGCTGGTAAGACGACACTTTGAATATGCTCTGCAATTTTGGGCACCAGTTCTAAAGAACGATATCATGGTACTAGAAAAAGTGCAAAGACGAGTTACAAAATTAATAAAAAGAATGAGCATTTTAGTTACGAAGAAAGATTAGAAAATTAAAATCTCTTGAGTTTGTAAAAACGGCGCCTTAGTGGGGATAAGATAACATTAAACAAATATATTCGGGGCCAGTACAAACCATTATCTGGAAATCTATTCATAAACAGGGCTATACATAGGACACAAGGTTACGCATTAAGGCTGGAAGAAAGGAGATTTAATCTAAGGTAAATAAAAGGTTTTTTACAGTAAGAACTATAAGGATATGGAATTCTTTGTCTAAAGAGGTTTTATCAGAGTCCATAGAGATGTTTAAATAGCAATTGGATAAATACTTCCAAAAACATAACATACAGGGATATAATTTCTAATTAGTAGGTTGATAGCTGCTTGATCCAAGGAGATATCTCACTGCCATTTTGGGATCAAGAATGAATTTTTTCCTAGTTTGTTGCAAAATTGGAAGCGCTTCAGACTGGGTTTTTTGTCTTCTTTTGGATCAACAGCAAAAACATATGTGATGGACCTTGATGGACGCAAGTCTCTTTTCAGCAATGTAACTATGCCGGGATGTCTCATTGGAACAGGGGCTGAGTGCACAAATTGAGTAAGATGAGCCCAATAAGCCAGATGGCATGATCTAAACTTTACCAGCTGCTACTGTCCATGACAAAAATGTAATTAAACACACCTATCCCTGTCACTCCAAATAATCTGACCCAATTATAAACTCATCCCCAAAAAAGTAATCAGCAAACTGTTTTCTAATATTGGCAAATAATAGAAGAACAAGCAATCTGCTCTGATGCCACTAATTCTAATGCTTGATTGGAATATTTTAGTTTATGTAAAAAGCAGTACAAATATATAGAACTTATTTTACAAACTTCCTCTAGCATTCAGCGCCCTCAGAATCAGAAAAGTGTCCTCTTTACATGGAGATGTTTTAGAAAAGCTGATTGGGGATTAATAGATGTACTAGCAAATTCCTTAAGCAAGATTTCATTCAGCAACCCCAAACAAGCAATGTGAGCTCCCACTGAGATCTGAATTATTATGCTGCTCAAGACAAAGGCGTAACATTTCCCATTGGTGCACAGGTCAGTGTGCTCTTGTCATTCATACTGTCATCGACTCCTATTACATTATGGATAAAAGGGATTTAATACTTTTTTTTGTGTGTGTGTAGTGACTACATCGTTCTGTTATAAAACTCAGTCAGTGCAGTAATTTCAGTGAATTCTTCTTATTCTGTTTATTACACATTCTATAGTACTATTGGGCTTGCAACATAGCAGGACAATAGCAGGTAAACTGCTCCAGCTAAACTACAACTCCCAGAAACGTATGTAATTCTGTATGACAGTATTCTTGATGAATAGAAGGAAACCACGCAGGATGAAAACAAAAGTAGACAAAAGGGTGGCAATTAAGGAGAAAAATAAATGATTTTTCTTTCTTTTGCAAGAATATATTGAGAAAAAAAAATACTAACACCCAAATAACACCGAACACGTGTAAGGCACCGGAAAAGTTATAAAGCTCTTCACGATCAGATAGGAGTAATTATACCTTTAATCGTAAAAAGAACAATTTAATGTAAAGAATTATTTGGGGTTTAAGACTCAATATTATATTATTATGCTCAGCCAGACACATTTATATTATATTAGTCATGGGAAAAAGAAAGTACACCCTGTTTGAATTCTATGGTTTTATATATCAGAACATTACAATTGCAGGTCTTAAAATTAGATAAATACAACTTCAGATATATGACATGTTACACCATGTCATGGTATATTTAACAAAAGTAAAGACAAAATTGACAAGCCATGTGTAAAACTAAGTGCATTCATAGGAACTAAGAGGCTAAGTAGCACACCGGTACTGCTAATTAAATGACCTTGATTAATTTATCATTATCAAAAATAACCACCACCACAAAAGCCAACGTTTTAGCAGTTTGCTGGTCTGGAGCATTCAAGTGTTTGTTAACACAATGCTAAGGAGGCAAAACATCAGCGATGATCTTAGAGAAGCAATTGTTGCTGACCATCAAACTAGGAAGGGTTATAAGGCCATTTCCAAACAATGTAAAGTCCATCATTTTACAGTGAGAAAGATTATTCAAAAGTGGAAAACATTCAAGACAGTTGCCAATCTTCCGAGGAGTGGACGACCTATTAAATTCACCCAAAGATCAGATCATGCAATGCTCAGAGAAATTGCAAAAAAGAATTGCATCTCAGACTCTACTGGCCTCAGTTATGTTAAATGTTAAAATGCATGACAGTGCAATTAGAAAAAGACTGAACAAGTATGGCTTGTTTGGAAGGGTTGCCAGGAGAAAGTCTCTTCTGTGTAAAAACAACAGGGCTGCACCGCTTAGGTTTGCAAAGTTGCATCTGAACAAATCACAAGACTTCTGGAACAATGTCATATTGGACACATGAGACCAAAGTGGAGATGTTTGGCCATAATGCCAAATCCAAACAGCGTATCAGCAGAAACAATATTTCACATGCGGCTTCTTCAATTTGGCTTTATTTTGGTTAAATAAATCATGACATGGTATCATATGTCATGTGTTGTTCATCTTAGGTGGTATTTACCTAATTTTAAGAAAAATGATTGTTCTTATATGCTGATATTTAAAATTATAGAATTAAAAGAGGGTGTACTCTCTTTTTCCCATTAATGTATATATATACAAATTTTCAAGTACATCAATTCAAAAAAAAACAAAAAATGAATGTGTAGGTACACTTGAAACAGAGTTGGGTTTATTAGCTAATGAAGACAAGGAAAAAGCAGAAATTTTAAATGACTATTTTTCTTCAGTATATATTAATGAGGATCCTATGGCAAGAGATATGCAAATGATTTCTGCAAAAAACTTGCAAACAACTTGTGATTGGATAACTCGAGACAAGGTGCTACAACTATTAAAGAAAATTAATGTAAATAAAGCTCCGGGGCCTGACGGTATTCACCCACGAGTACTTAAGGAGCTAAGTGGGGAAATAAGTGAACCTCTGTATTTAATTTTTCAAGATTCTTTTGTTTCAGGTGTTGTACCAGAGGATTGGAGGAAGGCAGATGTTGTTCCTATATTTAAAAAGGGTTCAAAATCCTTGCCTGGAAATTATAGACCTGTGAGCTTAATTTATGTAACTGGGAAAATATTTGAAGGGCTATTAAGGGATAATATTCAGGAATTCATTGGGAAGAACTTTGTTATTAGCAATAATCAGCATGGTTTTATGAAACATAGATCATGTCAAAATAACCTAATTGCATTCTACAAAGAAGTAAGTAGAAGTATAGATCAGGGTGTTGCAGTGGATGTGATCTACTTGGATTTTGCCAAGGCATTTGATACGGTTCCTCACAATAGGTTAGTCTTCAAACTAAAATAAATTGGTCTAGATGAATATTCTTGTTCTTGGGTAGAACATTGGCTTAAGGATAGAGTACAACGAGTTGTAATTAATGGTAAATTTTCAGGCTGGACAAAAGTGGTAAGTGGTGTCCCTCAGGGTTCTGTTTTGGGACCACTTCTATTTAACATATTTATAAATGATCTTGAAATAGGCATTGAAAGCCATGTATCAGTGTTTGCAGATGACACAAAACTTTGTAAAGTAATAAAATGTGAGCAGGATATTGCTTTGCTGCAGAGAGATTTGGATAGATTGGGGGACTGGGCACTAAAATGGCAGATGAAATTTAACATAGAGAAATACAAAGTGATGCACTTCGGGGTTAAGAATGCACAAGCAACTTACACACTAAATGGTAGTGAATTAGGGATAACCACAAGAAGGCTTTGGGAATTGTTATAGACAACAAATTAGGCAGCAATATGCAATGTCAATCTGCAGTTGCTAAGGCCAGTAACACTTTGTCATGTATAAATACGGTCATAAATTCTCGGGATGAAAATAAAATTTTGCCGCTTTATAAATCGCTGGTAAGACCACACCTTGAATATGCTGTGCAATTTGGGGCGCTTGTTCTAAAGAAGGATATCATGGGACTGGAGAGGGTCCAGAGACTAGCTACAAAATTGATAAAAGGAATGGAGCATTTTACTCCAAAGGCCACTGGAGGCCATGACCTCCATTTGTTTAAATATACATGGGGATTAAGGGGAGAGCACAGGTAACTTTTTTTCTTTAAAAATATAATTTTGTCGCTTTATAAATCGCTGGTAAGACGACACTTTGAATATGCTGTGCAATTTGGGGCGCTTGTTCTAAAGAAGGATATCATGGGACTGGAGAGGGTCCAGAGACTAGCTACAAAATTGATAAAAGGAATGGAGCATTTTAGTTATGAAGAAAGGTTAAAAAAATTAAATCTGTTTAGTTTGGAAAAACGGCGCCTGAGAGGGGATATGATAACTTTATCCAAATATATTCGGGGCCAGTACAAACCTTTATCTGGACATCTATTCATAAACAGGGCTATACATGGGACACAAGGTCACACATTTAGGCTGGAAGAAAGGAGATTTTTTTTACAGTAAGAACAATAAGGATATGGAATTCTCTGCCTGAAGAGGTGGTTTTATCAGAGTCGATACAGATGTTTAAACTGAAATTGGATAAATACTTACAAAAACATAACATACAGGGATTTAATTTCTAATTAGTGGGGTAAAAGCTGCTTGATCCAAGGAGACATCTGACTGCTATTTTGGGGTCAAGAAGGAATTTTTTCCTAGTTTGTGGCAAAATTGAAAGCGCTTCAGACCAGGTTTTTTGCCTTCTTTTGGATCAACAGCAACAACATTTGTGAGGAAGGCTGAACTTGACGGACACAAGTCTCTTTTCAGCTATGTAACTATAAAATATATATA